TTTATTAATTTTTTTAAATGTATAGATATATTAAAATTTGATCATTTTTTTCAATCTTCAGAGTGGGTAGTATTTATATGTATAACGAATCTAAAGTTTTACGAAGGAGCCTCTTTTATTATACTTTTGCAAGCTTTCGAACCTTTCGGTTCTTCCACAGGCGTGGCTAGTATGACTACACTAACAGGGTATAAGCGCGCTTGAGCCATTATATACAACATATAAATTTACATTCGGAGTGATATTTCAAACGTAATAAAATAGAAATAGGAATAATGACTATAAAAATAAAAATAAAACTATGTAAATGAACTTATAGATTTTTAAAATTTAGATAAAATTATGGCAAAAACTTTTAAATACGATCAAAGTTAAGTAAAATAATGATATTCACTGTATGTAAGCCGTGTGATACTTTAAAATTTCGTAACATTTAAAACCAGTAAAATTTTAAAACATCTCAACACAGAAAAACCAAGCGGGGGTCCACTCCAACCCGACCACACACCCGAGTATATCACGGTATAACTATTGAGATATTATATGATATATTTCCGGTAGATCTATTTTCCTATTAATGCTGTTTGTTTGTGTTGATATGATGGATTCCAGTACCAATCTGTGCTGCTTATTGTTTATGTGCTGATATAGGATTTTAGGATGATCTAAGTTGAAGTTATGGCCAGTGTTTGAAATATGTTGGTATATAAGTGATTTCGGGTCTCTATTGTTTATGTTTCGTTTGTGTTCGGTGATTCTGATATACGCGGTTCTGCCAGTCTCCCCCACATAGGAGGCTGGGCAATCCTGGCAAGAAACCGCGTATACTGCTCCGGTGGAGTGGATGGGATTGTTGGGTGCGTCTGCTTTGGTGATAGGATTCCTGAGGAGGGCAGCAAGATTGGGAGGGCTGTTAAAATAAACTTGGATGCCATATGGGCGAAGGATTCTGGAAATGGCAACAGAGAACGAGGAATATGGAAGATAGCAGACTGCTCTATAAGTCGTGGAGGTCCTCGGAGCAGTGGGATCAAACGTGTGTTTATCTATGAATTTTCTTGGGTATCCTGCAGTGGTTAGAAGGGTGGTAATTCTGTTTTTTTTTCTATGGCTTTGAATATAGGTAATGTGCAATGCGTATGTACTCTTTTGGTTAAAGTCCTGACTGTATTTACTTTATAGGCTACCGGGCTATTGGAGGAGAAATGGGTGTATAGAGGTGGGATATTCTTTTTGTAATATACTGCTGTGTGCAATCTGTGTGGAGTGCGGATAATGAGGATGTCCAGAATTGCCATTTCTGGACATCCTCATTATCCGCACTCCACACAGATTTCACACAGCAGTATATTACAAAAAGAATATCCCACCTCTATACACCCATTTCTCCTCCAATAGCCCGGTAGCCTATAAAGTAAATACAGTCAGGACTTTAACCAAAAGAGTACATACGCATTGCTCATTACCTATATTCAAAGCCATAGAAAAAAACAGAATTACCACCCTTCTAACCACTGCAGGATACCCAAGAAAATTCATAGATAAACACACGTTTGATCCCACTGCTCCGAGGACCTCCACGACTTATAGAGCAGTCTGCTATCTTCCATATTCCTCGTTCTCTGTTGCCATTTCCAGAATCCTTCGCCCATATGGCATCCAAGTTTATTTTAACAGCCCTCCCAATCTTGCTGCCCTCCTCAGGAATCCTATCACCAAAGCAGACGCACCCAACAATCCCATCCACTCCACCGGAGCAGTATACGCGGTTTCTTGCCAGGATTGCCCAGCCTCCTATGTGGGGGAGACTGGCAGAACCGCGTATATCAGAATCACCGAACACAAACGAAACATAAACAATAGAGACCCGAAATCACTTATATACCAACATATTTCAAACACTGGCCATAACTTCAACTTAGATCATCCTAAAATCCTATATCAGCACATAAACAATAAGCAGCACAGATTGGTACTGGAATCCATCATATCAACACAAACAAACAGCATTAATAGGAAAATAGATCTACCGGAAATATATCATATAATATCTCAATAGTTATACCGTGATATACTCGGGTGTGTGGTCGGGTTGGAGTGGACCCCCGCTTGGTTTTTCTGTGTTGAGATGTTTTAAAATTTTACTGGTTTTAAATGTTACGAAATTTTAAAGTATCACACGGCTTACATACAGTGAATATCATTATTTTACTTAACTTTGATCGTATTTAAAAGTTTTTGCCATAATTTTATCTAAATTTTAAAAATCTATAAGTTCATTTACATAGTTTTATTTTTATTTTTATAGTCATTATTCCTATTTCTATTTTATTACGTTTGAAATATCACTCCGAATGTAAATTTATATGTTGTATATAATGGCTCAAGCGCGCTTATACCCTGTTAGTGTAGTCATACTAGCCACGCCTGTGGAAGAACCGAAAGGTTCGAAAGCTTGCAAAAGTATAATAAAAGAGGCTCCTTCGTAAAACTTTAGATTCGTTATACGTTTATACTAATTATACGGAGTTTACCTGTAGAAATTTATATGTGATTGTAAACACATGATTAGTAAACATTAAATTAAGTGTCGTAGTTTTTCTTCTGTATTTACATATTTCTAGCTCAATATGTAATATATAAAATGAGAACGTCTACTGTCCATATGCAACTCAATGTTGACGATAAATTATGCCATTGGTTTTTCTTAATATCTCAAGTCCCAGTTTAAAACTTTATTAGGTACCACTCAAAAAGAGCAACCCAGCTTATGATATCTACACTCATGGAAAAAACTTAAGGAAGTTGTACCTTTTACCATGTATATCGGGATTCAGACAATAACTCTGAAAGATACACTCATAGACAAACTCAAGGAAGTTGTACCTTCTAGCATGTATATCGGGATTCAGACAATAACTCTGAAAGATACACTCATGGACAGAACTTAAGGAAGTTGTACCTTTCAGCAGATATATCGGGATTCAGACAATAACTCTGAAAGATACACTCATGGACAAAACTTAAGGAAGTTGTACCTTTTAGCATGTATATCGGGATTCAGACAATAACTCTGAAAGATACACTCATGGACAGAACTTAAGGAAGTTGTATCTTTTAGCATGTATATCGGGATTCAGACAATAACTCTGAAAGATACACTCATGGACAAAACTTAAGGAAGTTGTACCTTTTAGCATGTATATCGGGATTCAGACAATAACTCTGAAAGATACACTCATAGACAAACCTTAAGGAAGTTGTACCTTTTAGCATGTATATCGGTATTCAGACAATAACTCTGAAAGATACACTCATGGACAAAACTTAAGGAAGTTGTACCTTTTAGCATGTATATCGGTATTCAGACAATAACTCTGAAAGATATTACAGTGACCTTTATTGAAAACATACGAGATAACCAAATGTGAACAACCTCCATCTCCTTCAACAAAAAACATACAACCGGCGACATCATCCGCTTCCTTAAGCTTTGTCCATGAGTGTATATATATGTACCTACTCGAAGTGCTGTTAACTGCCTCAGCGTGGCGGGAGGTGACACTGGGCAGTACAGTATGTCTGGAGTCTTGTACTCCTGGTAGGGCCACCATAAAGACTGTCCTACTAAATTCAACTAAATGTTAACAGACAAAGTCCTATCTTTGTGTACCTCAGATTTCTCATCAACAGGAAACTACTCAATTACTCCGAGTATGAGAATTCTACTCTATTCAAATTATAAAGTAAAAAGACAAATTGCAGTATATTTATGTACTAAAAATGCTACAAGCTTTCGACTGTTACATCTTCCTCACGCCATGTGATCATAATGTTGTCATGTAGATAGTCAAGCCACACAACCTTGGAACATGGAGGTGACGTTATGTGTGTGTCCAGGTGGGATGATTGAGGTATGCGGACCCACCGACCTGCGAACAGGCGAGTTTGTATTCTGTGTTTTTCCCCTCTACATAACCAACATCTTATGTGCTTTCTAAGAACTGTGTGCAAAATTTCCTCTGTCTCCTTCAAAATATATATATATATGTTGTAATATATTCCAATATATACCTATGTCCCCATGTGTTGTATGGTTATAATGTAATTGCCAAGGCAATAGAAATAAAATTTCGAGTGAAAGACAGCCGGCGCCAGTAGAGGAAAAAGGTCCGAAAAACAAGTCGGGTTCCCAGGTGTGTCCCCTTCTTACTCAAACAGATTAGTCCGCTTTGAGACACGATGATTGACAGACCCCTCTAGACAGATCTCCCTTGACCGGTGTCGGCTTCACTTACTCTCTCGCCCTCTCTATGGTGACATCCAACATGTCTCGTCCTTTTGTGTAATCCCAATCACACCTGAACCCACTCTAATCATTGTGGCCACCACGACTGCAACCAACATACCACACTACAGTCATCCTATAGCTACAACAACTACATTACTACATATATATATATATGTTGTGATGCAAATGATCCTGTAGGATGAATGTCGTGATGAGTTAGTTAAATGCAGTCGTTGGGGCCACAATGTTCAGAGTGGTTTCAGGAGTGAATGTATTGCCCCAAAGAACGAGACATGTTGGATGTCACCACAGAGATGGCCAGAGAGAGTGATGCCGACACCGGTCAAGGCAGATCTGTCCAGGGGGGGTCTGTCAATCATCGTGTCTCCAGAGGGACAACTTTTTGTTTGAGCAAGAAGGGGCACATCTTGTTCACGACTTTGTTTTTCGAAGACCTTCCTCCTGTCTGGCGCCGACTGTCACTCAATCTAACTTTATTAATTTGTTTTGCATTGCATGATGGCCGAACTGGCGAGAAGGAAAGAAAGTACAGTTTGGCCGTGTGCCTAACTATGAAGAAAAATCGAAGAATAATTAAATATAATACACTGCGGCCTGTAATTGTAAAACGATTTTACAAATCACAGGCCGCAGTATATTATATTGTATATAAGTTACTTTATGTATCATTTACGAACGGAAAAATATGTCCAGGGTAGCCTAGTGGACATGGCATCTGCCCGGTAAGCGGAACATTGTGGGTTCGATTCCCATCCCAGGACACTTTTATTTTTCCGTTCGTCATTACTCTTCATAATTCATCCTTTCATACCTCATCCGAAAAGGTTATAAATAGTCGATATTTCACCTTGAAATAAAATTTTTAATTTGTCGTTGAAAGGAAACTCATGCGGTGTAACTTCAAGTGTCGTTTTACAATAATTAAATAGTTTACATAAATAAATACAAAGCATTGTAAAGAAAATAAAGTCTCCAGGACCAAGTTTCTTGTTCAAATTTTATTCTCTAGCTTTCGGACCTGTCAGTCCTTCCACAGGAGTATCACGATAACAGATTGATGGTATATATTCTATTTTTATACAAAATAATTTTTTGCATATTTAATTTTATAAAGTTTTAATTTAACAAAGATAATATATAGAAAGAATATTTACATATTAGATTACGTAATGTTTTCATATTTAACTATTAATGATATGGAAAGGTGGAGAAAACGTATATTACCTTCTTTGTGTGTTATAAACAATTTTTTTGTAATTATACGTGCATGGGTGGAGACCACGCGCTGGTCGAATGATATCTCGTGATCTCAATACAAAGCATGTTACACAATTTAAAAGGTGTAGGACAAACAAATGTATCTATAAATATAAAGGTAAACTCTACCGTCAAAATAGACATCAATAAATGACGTCTATCTTTAACATCTATTTTGTTGGTAGAGATAACTTTTATCTTTATTGGTCAATATCCCTACCGGTAAATTTCCATATAAATAAATACATATGTAAATAGGACAAATTTATCGTGGCTGTGACAGTGAGAATTAGACAAGGAAGATTCTGGTACAGGAGAATGTCAGGCTCATATCTTATGCAAATTGGATCTACTGCCGCCCTTTCTCTCTCTATCTGGACAATTCCACCGGTCCGTTTAACTATCTCGCCATAATTAGTTAGGGAGATAACTATCACAATGGTAGTTATAGTTAGCGTAGGTGTACACAGCCAGAATGAAAGACAATCTTTATACTTTCATAACCTTTCTTTAATTATCTGCTCACTACAGTAGCTATAACCTATCTGTATATTTAATTAAAATTACAAATATTGGATCAAAATATCATTTATTTTACCAATATTTCAGTTGGCTGAACGCCAACCTTTATCAAGGTGTTAAAACATATTTAATGTGTCAAATTACGAAACTATTTTAGAAGCGTAATATTCTTTTTGAAATAAAACATTTTCTACTGCCCTTACTGCAATGGAAAAATTAAAGGGAGGTCCTGGCTCATCAGTGGTGAACCCTCCCAGCGGTTTCGCCAGTTTAAACTACCATATATACCATATAATAAAAGACGCAAATCGATATTTGCGGATGAGCGATTGCTCGAAGCATATTATATATTTATAATGGTAGATTAAACTGGCGAAACCGCTGGGAGGGTTCACCACTGATGAGCCAGGCCCTCCCTTTAATTTTTCCATTGCAGTAAGGGCAGTAGAAATTGTTTTATTCTAAAAAGAATATTACGCGTCTAAAATAGTTTTGTAATTTGATAACAGATGGCGCGCTAGTGCATCGTAATATTTAATATGTGTCAACAACAAACTCAGCGCCACATAACGTCAACAGAATTAAGTTTTTAAAATATTTTGTTATATTCAATGAGGGGAAAAAAATTGATAAATATCTGTATACTAGCGGACGTACCCGGCTTCGCCCGGGTTTTACCCGAGTAAAGGTTTGTCTAACGAACATTTGCTAAAACAATTCTCTATAAGCTTATAAAAAAATAATAGATATATTTTAATAATTTGAAACTCGTAAATTTGAATCTCTCGATAAAGTGAACATTTTTTCCCGGTCCCTTGTCTCATCTTGTCTCAAATAAATTGCCGTGTCATGCTGAATTTTGTCTTTCCTAATTTTCTACATTACAAAATCATCGTTTTATCTAGTGAACATTTTTTCCCGGTCCCTTGAAAAATACTCGATAACTAACTTTGACTTGTGCGCAATTAATAGGTAGAAAATCTTACTTTTGATAAATAATCTTTAAAATAATAAACTTAGTGATAATAATACTTATAGATAAAAAACTTGTTATCATCGTCGCAATGGGGGCGCTGCTTGCGAGTTAAATCTACAAATCTGCAAATAACTCTAAGGATATTCAAGATATTCAAGAAATTATTTTTCAGAAACCTTCCCAGTACTATACTAAATAGCTTCCCAAAGTTTCATGGCGTTCCAATGAGTGGTTTGGTCAGGCATAAAGGACAGACACACATATATTCATTTTTATATATATAGATATCCGGGGGAAACGAGTCGCCTCTTGACTTGCTCTCCTTACCAAACCCACCTTTTCACTGAACCTTCTTCAAGATGAGCCCAGAAAAATCCCCAGATAGACTCGAGCAGGCGATGTAACTGTAACCCGTCCACATTTTGGGCGGATGTTGTTGTTGTTAGCAATCGCCAGTATGCAGCATCTCATTGTCAATGTCGAATATCAGCATAAATACCATCAAGCAGAATACCGTTTGATATTGTAGCGTAGAAATCAAGTCTTGGAATATCTTAAGATGTATTTATTGATGACGTCAGTACGACTAGCCGACAATTATCAACAAACCAGTGTTTGTACTCCATGTTAGGAGTGGCTGCACATGGTGTCTGTTCCTTATGTCAGAGGCGGCCATTTCTTTTAGAGCTAAGTTGGCCTGCCACTGAGTAGTGATGCCAGTCTTAATGACAAAGGCATTCTACTTCACCCAGTCATGATGGTTGTCAAATCTCAAGCTTTACTAGCTTGATACCCTAATAAGATTAAGTGGAGATAAGAAAGAAGAAGATCAACAAACCAACCAAACTATCTACAGCTAGAGAATATCGACCAAACAAGCTAGGTAACTAAATGATGTTTTTACAAATATTAAATAAACTAAAATCTCTGTTTCAAATATTTTCATTGAATAATTAAATTTAATAATAAAATATAAATTGTGAAAAAATAGTACAAATGTGATATTGTACTGGGATAAGGTGTATAAATTATGAAAAAGGCATCTCCTTATTGTGCAACTGTAAGTTGCTAGTGGCTTGCGCCATCTATCGGAATAAATATCAACTATTTTCGTTGATTTTTAATTATTCCAGAATTGGCCAAATACCCATTCTTGATTAATCAAGAAAACAAACCACTTATTCCGATAGATGGCGCAAGCCATCATCAGCTTTCAGTTGCACGATAAGGAGATGTATTTTTCAAAATATAAATTATTTCTTAGGGACACTATATATAAAGGGATAAATTATAAAAAGTATATAAGTAGGAGACACGGAATGAGAGAGTAGAATAAAATTTATATTTTATTTATGAAATGAAAATTCTCCAAATGTTCAAATAATTATTTAAAATGTTTAACTGTGCGAGATTTAATAACGAAACAAAGTTTGAAAATCGGCTTCCAGGCCGTCATACACCTGATCAGAAAACAACTTGGGTAAGGAATCTGATATTTTCAATTTACAAATAAAGTTGAAAGTATGTTTATTTAGATCTTTTTTATTTCTATATTTTAATATATTTTGTTTTTGATTTATTTTTATAAATTGTGTGTGTTGCTTGTCTGTGTGTGTTTTTATTTTATGAATATAGATACACAACTTATAAAATGAAAAAAGATTATTATATATAGGCAAAAATATAGAAAATTGTCTGAGCTACGCTGTTGTGGCCTGGATGTATGTCTGTCTGGGCTACGCTGGTGTGGTCTGGATGGAATCTGTCTGGGCTACGCTGGTGTTGACTGGATAGATGTCTGTCTGGGCTACACTGGTGTGGTTTGGATGGCTGTCTGTCTGGGCTACGCTAGTGTGGTCTGGATTAATCTCTGTCTGGGCTACGCTGGTGTGGTCTGAATGGATGTCTGTCTGGGCTACGCTGGTGTGATCTGGATGGATGTTTGTCTGGGCTACGTTGGTGTGGTCTGGATGGATCTCTGTCTGGGCTACGCTGGTGTGGTCTGGATGGCTGTCTGTCCGGGCTACGCTGGTGTGACCTGGATGGCTGTCTGTCTGGGCTACGCTGGTGTGGTCTGGATGGATGTCTGTCTGGGCTACGCTGGTGTGGTCTGGATGGATGTCTTTCTGGGCTACGCTGGTGTGGTCTGGATGGATGTCTGTCTGGGCTACGCTGGTGTGGTCTGGATGGATGTCTGTCTGGGCTACGCTGGTGTGGTCTGGATGGATGTCTGTCTGGGCTACGCTGGTGTGGTCTGGATGGATGTCTGTCTGGGCTACGCTGGTGTGGTCTGGATGGATGTCTGTCTGGGCTACGCTGGTGTGGTCTGGATGGATGTCTGTCTGGGCTACCTGGTGTGGCCTGGATGGATGTCTGTCTAGGCTACGCTGGTGTGGTCTGGATGAATGTCTGTCTGGGCTACCTGGTGTGGTCTGGATGGATGTCTGTCTGGGCTACGCTGGTGTGGTCTGGATGGATGTCTGTCTGGACTACGCTGGTGTGGCCTGGATGGATGTCTTTCTAAGCTACGCTGGTGTGGTCTGGATGGATGTCTGTCTAGGCTACGCTGGTGTGGCCTGGATGGATGTGTCTGGGCTACGCTGGTGTGGTCTGGATGGCTGTCTGTCTGGGCTACACTGGTGTGGTCTGGATGGCTGTCTGTCTGAGCTACGCTGGTGTGGCCTGGATGGTTGTGTCTGGGCTATGCTGCTGTGGCCTGGATGGATGTCCGTCTGGGCTACGCTGGTTTTGACTGTATGGATGTCTGTCTGGGCTACGCTGTTGTGGTCTGGAGAGTTTTCTGTCTTAGGTACGTTGGTGTGGTCTGGATTGCTCTTTGTCTGGGCTACACTGGAGGGGTCTGGATGGCTGTCTGTCTGGGCTACGCTGGTGTGGCCTGGATGGATGTTTCTGGGCTACGCTGGTGTGGCCTGGATGGATGTCCGTCTGGGCTACGCTGGTGTGGCCTGGATGGATGTCTGTCGGGGCTACGCTGGTGTGGCCTGG